CCGTTGTTTATGCTGTGGTTAACCAACCCTCTGGTACAACGCAAGGTCTAGTAGCAGCGAAGGCGAGATTGGCGAAACACGGGTTGACAATACCCAGGTTAGAGTTGGTCTCTGCACACATGGCATCCAACCTCGTAGACAACGTGCGACAAACCCTGGATGGATTTCCTGTGCAAGAAACGTATGGTTGGCTCGACAGTACAGCGGCGCTACACTGGATAAAGGGCGGGGGAGAGCATAAACAGTTCGTAGCCAACAGAATTCAAAAGATCCAGTCAAAACCTAACATACAGTGGCGCTATGTTCCGACCGATTGCAATCCTGCTGATGTGGGAAGCAGAGGTGGCCAAGTGAAAGACAACCAACTGTGGTTAAATGTACCAGATTGGCTTAAAGATAAACGTATGTGGCCAGAAAATATCGTAACCTGTGCAACCAAAGAAAGCGAAGCTGAAGCGAAGATGATCAAAACCGTGCTGCGATTGACCCAAGATAACTCGGACTGTTTTGACTACATCCTTGAGAAGTTTGCATTACGAAAAGCCATGAGAATATGCGGGTGGATTACGAGGTTCATAACAAACCTGAGAAAACCCAATAGTAGAACTTCAGGCCTTAAAATATCGGTCGGTCACGGACATTGTCCGACCCATTCGTGAAATTGTCCGACGTAGAGAGGAAACCACCGGACATTCTGTCCGACCAAAATGAAACTGAGGTTTATTGTTTGTCCGACCCGAGTGTATTGGTGTCCGACCGAACTGTAGCTTTGTCTGACGTAAATCAATATGTACCCTAGCCCAGTTCTACAGGCTTGTATGTTAAATGGAAAATCAGAGTACTATTGTATAAAAGGTGAACTGGAACACCACCCAACTAACATCACCCAACATGTTGATCTAATATCATCCAATATGCTGGCAGTGGATGTGAACCAACATAGTCCATCTTATACCAATGTTAAGGTGGCTCGATACAGTTTTCAAAAATGCAGGTGTTTAACACTTTGACATGTTCAAACTACGCATTTTTAGGATTTATTCAGCAGATATTGTTTTTTTTTATATATTTTGATAACTCTACTTTCAAACGATATTAGTTTTAGTAACAGATAGTTCGTTGCTATGACGACATACGTGTACGAAATTCACTCCAAAATGACCTATCGTCTCGTATAGTTGGAAAAAAAGCATGGTGACCCCCAATTTTTTTTCGTGCATTATTTTACTTGGACGAAAAGCTAACAATTAGCAAAATATAAAAAAATTCTGTAATGCCATTTTTTTGGAAAATGCGAAAATGTCATATTCTTCGGTAAATTTTTTTTGGCATTACAGAATTTTTTAATTTTTTGTATAATGAAAGTTTCTAGCAGTGCAATACAGCATGCAAAATTTCAACATAGGTCACCAGACAAAATAAAGAGATATAGCGCATTGTTTTTCTTTCATGGAAAATTCTAATGACGTCAGCAATTGACATAAAACGCTATAGAACACGCGCAATGGCGTGATATGGCGCGAGCAACTGCTCACGTCAGGTCATTTTGGAAGTTCTTTCATTTTGTTAATCAGTTTCCGCGACCTGCGCGACTTGTGCGCGTAAAAATGGTCACCCGGTTTTGAGTTCGCGATTCTTGAGCAGAGTTTTTGTGATAACTATATCGAGCCACCTTAAGTTGACGAAGTTTTTAATACTGCTGTTCTGGCAAGCAAGTTATTTTTGGCTTGGAAATAAGTATGAAAGAAACAAATGATTTAATATCTTTACAACATTTACCATTTATTCATTTGTGTCATTCAGACTTATTTCCGAGTCAAAACTGAACTGAAGGTCATCGGACATATGTCCGACCCAAACTCAACGTCACCGGACATTTTGTCAGACGGCCCTGGAAAAGATATTTTAAGGCCTGGAACTTTGGGACCACTAACGACTGATGAGCTCGAGCAGCAATATGTATTTTGGGAAAAGAAAGTACAACAGAGCTGTGGTAGCGAAGACGATAAGCTGCGACTCAATTTACAAGAGAACCCCCAAGGTATCCTGGAGTGCAGGGGACGCATTCAAGGTCATTATCCAGTTTATCTGTCAGACAAGCACATCTTTGCGACCAAGCTGGTGGAAGATGCCCATCTATGCACCCTTCATGGGGGAGTGGGGATGACCATGGCCCAAATTCGAGAACAGTACTGGGTCCCACGACTTAGACAACTTGCACGCAAAGTAATCAAGAAGTGTTACGGTTGTCGTAGATTCCAAGCGAAAGCAGTGCTACAACCACCACCTGGTATGCTGCCACCAGATAGAACTGAAGGGAGTCGTCCCTTTGAAACAATAGGCGTGGACTTTGCTGGTCCTATTAAGTACATTAAGAAAAAGAAGGAAGAAGGAAAGGCATACATACTACTCTATGCCTGTAGCCTCACGCGAGCGGTATATCTCGAGTTGATGCCCTGCTTAGACACAGGAAAGTTTATCGAGAGTTTTAAGAAATTCATCGCAAGGAAAGGGAGACCAAGCAAAATCTACTCTGACAATGCAAAAACGTTTGTTTCAGCAGCAAACTGGTTACGAACAGCTCAAAACGATGAAAAGTTAAACGAATTCCTCAGCAAGAATCGAATTAGATGGCAGTTCAACCTGAGTCGCGTCCCATGGTGGGGTGGCCAGTTCGAGCGCTTAATCGGATTGGTAAAAAGAGCTCTACATAAAACAATTGGCAAAGGGTCGCTGAGTTGGGACGAGCTGAAGGAGGTCCGCGTAGACATCAAAGTAGCATTGAATACAAGACCACTCAGCTACATGGAAGATGATGTACAGCTACCAACGCTAACGCCTAACTCCATGATGTTCATTGGTTCTACATTCGCGCCAGAGCTGGAAGCACATCACATGCAAGAAAAGGATCTACGCAAGCGTGCAAGGTATTTGTTAAAGTGCAAGCAAGCAATGTGGCGGAGATGGTCAACGGAATATCTGCGCGGTCTACGAGAGCGGCATAACCAAAATCACAAGAAGACGTCGTTCACGGTGAAAAAGGGTGACGTGGTTATTATACAATCGGATGAACGAAGTCGTGGAAAGTGGCCTCTTGGTATTGTCGACGAGCTGTACAAAGGTCGTGATGGTGTTGTTCGTGCGGTGAAACTTCGTGCAGGAAAAACCTACCTTGAACGAGCAGTGAACCACCTGTATCCACTCGAGTTATCCTGTGACCGTACAGAAACAAAGGAACCTATCAACTTAAACCCGGAAGCGGCGTCGTTCCGACCAAGACGAGATGCTGCAGTGGCAGCTCAACAACGCATTAAAGAAGTAGCAGAAGTAGAACGTTGACGAAAACTATATAGTGCAAATTGAACACTGAACTTTTATAGAACTTTATCCTTTATTAGTACTGTTTGGTTAGACCAGTCTCCTTTGAGGGACATATACCTCGCTGTAAGGTATATGGGGGGAGAGTGTCGGAAACTGTCGTAATTTAGAATTAGTATTTATGTTCACGCGTGGGACGCGCGAGTCCAAACTTTAAACACTTCGGAAAGTTCCGGATTATACCGGTGGTTGTTGTTTTTTCCAGGAGAGAACTTAAAAACATGTGGCTGTAAAACTGTGAACTTGTGATTTTGTAATAGATATTATACTGTGTTTTGTTGTGATTTATTTTGGGCGATACTTGGAGGCAATCCCCAACACGCCCAACTGCCAGACGTTTTCAAGGATAATTATCACGTGTTGCATGGAGTATAATAATCACGAGTTAAAAGATAATAATCACGTGTTAAAGGATAGAAATCACGTGTTTAAAGATAATAATCACGAGTTTAAAGACAATAATCACGTGTTAAAAATTATAATCACGTGTTAAAATATAATAATCACGTGTTAAATCATAACAATCACGTATTAAATGATAATAATCACGTGTTAAAAGATAAGAACAATTATAGTAAAAAGGTGTTACCATTCTGCGAGATGTTTTAGGTAAAAACATGGTTCGCGATCTTCGCCCATGCCGTAATATACATCATCAAACATTTCATACGATGTAGGACCGTTTTTCTACAAGAAAAAATGTTTGAATTGTTACATGATGGTTTCTAAACAATCTCTTCGAAGCTAGTTGTACAAGTCATTAATAATTTCATGTTTCATTTTTTTTCCCAATCCACAAGTAGAAACTGATCATGAATGCGAGTACTGAATGCGGTATATGTACTTGCATAATGGTAAAATTATTTATAATTTTAATTAAAGTGCGACTAATCCCAAATATAATTTTTTGTATGTAATATTTGATTCATTCTAAGAAGAATGTAATGTATCTTTATAGTAAAAAAATCTCATCTTGATCAACTTTTTCACTGTCAAAGTTTCCGGATATGATGTCATTAGGAGAATTTTCGGTACAAAAAACAAAAGAAAACTAATTTGCAAATCACCTAATAACATCATATCAGGAAACTCTGACAGTAAAAAAGTTGATGAAGGCGAGATTCTTTACTATAAAGATACATTACTTTTCTTCTTTGAATGACCAAAATACTACACATACACAAAATTATATTTGGGGTTAGTCGCACTTTAACGAACACCGTACTATCTAAAAACCTAATGCAATAATTACACGAGAAAGGGAAATGTTTGAATCAGTGAATGCATTCCTAGAAGAACAGGCTTGTGTACGCACCGGTGAATTAATGATAATCAAATAGGACGTATCACTGTCATCACATTCGGTATATGCAACACCAAATTGAAACGTAGATATCCAAACCAAGTCAGACACTGAAATATAAGATGATGATCCAAGATCGTTATATACGAAATATTTATAATAATGCACTTGTAAATTCTGAACGCTGACTGGCTGAGAGCCGTGCTCAACTTTATGCCAACACGGAAAATGTCTTTCTTTATATTTCTTTGTGCCATATTAACAAAAAAATATAAAACATTTTTTTGTATTGATATATAGTTATATCAACACTCGTGGAAAATGGGAAAACTCGAAATTGTGTGAAAACTCGTGTTTCCACACAATTTCGAGTTTTCCCAAAACTTTATTTAATATAACCTGTATAGATTACATATTCACTTCAATATTCTATCTTAATCTGACTTCGTCTTAGATGTTCACTCGTCAAAAGTGTAAAAGGGACTCGTGCACGTGTTTTCTAACATGCAGTCTTCTATATCATGCACTATCAAATATTAACTAATAACTTTCTTCCTCTCCAATTTTAACTATCATTTTGACGTCAATGGATTTGGCCCGTAAATTAAACCAAGTAATAGAGCTTTTGCACTTATTCCCCAGGTACAAACTCAACAAAAGCATGGCGACCATGTTGGTGTGCCAACAATTAACTTGGGACAAGCAATGAGAACACAACTTTTAGACGGCTTATTGGTAGACTTGCTGCAAGATGTGAGATGTTTTCGCATGTTACATTACTTGTTAGAATGTGTCAATGTATTAATTGAGTAGAGCGTTTGCACATGACGTTACAGCCGCCATGTTGGTGTTCCAATTCAAAATAATTTTATTTAGACTCTTTTGTCTAACAAGTATGTATATGGAACAATTTGTTAAAGTTGTGACAACCTTGTTGATATTATCAGGCTTGTTGCAAGGTTGTTCCAACAACTCCGATACAGTCATAATATAACAATAACAATAATGTTACAACCTTGTGTCGTCATGACTGTACATCAGACTTTTCTAGGTGCATGTCTCGCTTCAGTATTATTCAAATTGAAGTTTATTGAACCTGATAGATAGTGTCAAATATTAATCCTATTTATTCTTGCCAACTTGTAACTAAGTCCTCTATATATGTATCAGGCAATCACAATATTGAATCGTTGTTTTTACAATTTTGTCTTACATGTAGTTATTACGTACATCTAATAATCTACAGGAACTCTACAACAGGGGTGTATATTCTTCT